GTCTGCAGATACTATGCTTAAGCATAGCTAGAGACAGAGTTGTGGGTACTTTGAAACTTTCCCAAACAAAGTACATCAAGAAAGTTCTAGAGAAGTTTAGCATGGCAGATGCAAAACCCAAAAGCACACACTTAGGGAGTCACTTGAGACTATCAAAGAAACATTCTTCTAAGAAGGATTAAGAGAAAGAAGAGATGGCAAAAGTTCCTTATGCCTCACCAGTTTGTAGCTTGATGTATGCAATGGTATGCACCTTACCAAATATTTCTCATGCAGTGGGAGTTGTGAGCCATTTTATGTCTAATCCAGGGAAAGAGCATTGGGAAGGATTCAGGTGGTTTTTACACTACTTGAAGGGTACTTTCGAGGCTGCCTTATGTTTCATAAGAAAAAAGGGTAGTTTTGGAAGGTTTCACTGATGCAAATTTAGGAGGTTGTGTGGATTCAGGAAAAAGCACAATCGGGTATGTTTTCACAATTGGAGGTACTGCAATCAGTTAGATGTCCATATTATATTAAAGTGTTGCTCTTTCAACCACATAATAAAGTATATTGCTATTGAAAAGTAAGCAATGAGCTTATATTATTGAAGAGTCACTTATCAAAACATGGTATGCAACCGGAAGATTGTTGTAGCATCCGGGATTTTCCAGGTATTATTAATCATTTTAAATTGAAGGATGGAATGGTTTGGTTTGGGTTTTGACCTTTGGGCCTTATTAATGGGATGAGGAAGCTTCGTACGCGGGGCGTACACAGCCATGTACGCCCAGCGTACTCGTGAGAATGAACCGCGGAGTCCAGGTACGTACGCCCAGCGTACCAGGAGTACGCCCAGCGTACGCGTGCAGCTCCTTAAACCCTAAAATTTAGGGTTTAATCTCTATATAAAGAACATTACCCCTGATTGTTCAGCCTCCCTTCACCCTTATACAGCCTCCACGAAAACCCTAGCCTACTTTTGTGTGTTCTTGTGATTTGAGAGCTATTTGAGAGTATTTTGGTGCCTTGGAAGAGAAAGGAACTTGAAGAAGGAGCAAGGATCCACCAAGAGCTTCTAGATCCAGAAGATTAGCACCATTTCTGACTTATTTGAGGTATCAAGTTCCAACCTTGGCCATTATATTCTTAGATTTGTTTATGGGGGGTGTTTAAAGTTACTTTTGGACTCGATTGTTGAGGCTTCTTGCATCTTAATGATTTCAGACCATAATAGTTGTCCTTTTGGGCTCTTAGAGGCACTAAGAATCATAAAAATCGGACCTTGATGGTTAAGCCACAACCATGCAAGTGTTATTGGGTCTTAAAGTTTTGTTAAAAGGACCAAAATCATGTTTTGACCCCAACCTTGCATGCAAGCACATAAAGTTCATGACTTTATGGTTTAGGAGGTCTTAAAGGACCTGGATCTGCATTTTGGACGTAAAGACTTAACAGATTAAGTCATGAATGATGTCCCAAAGAAGTTGGCCAGTACGTTGGGCGTACTCCCTGATACGCCGCACGTACTGGGTCAAGGCCAGCGTACGCTGGGCGTACGTGCCAAGTACGTCGCGCGTACGCATGTAGAATGAATGTTTTGGGCTTTTGGGGCCTTAAGAAAATGGGCCTGGACTTTTGGGCCCCGTAGCCCACTGTGAAGTATAATTCTGGACTTGGGAATCTGAAATTAAAGTATTGGGCCATAATTGGACCCCTTGGAATTATTATATTAGGACTTGAACTTTTGGGCACATTTAGGGGTTAAGGCCCAATTCAGAAATTGGGCAATTAGTGGGCCCTTAGGGAGCCCTTGTTAGGCCATAAGAGGGCTGGGCTTCATAAGCTAGAAGTGGGACTTATGTATGCTCCGATTGGACCAAGGGGTAAAATGGTCATTTTACCCTAAGCAGTGTTATGGATTCTGATTGAGTATTATTATAATTATGATAGCTGGGAGTCATCGGAGCAGCTGATAGAGGTTACTTCCCGCGAGATTCGACACTCAGCTTTACGAGGTGAATTACCTTCCAGTAGTGGTGGGTCTACGGCCACAATGTCGGCCCACTAGTAGGAGTTGTATGTTAGATGATTGTCTTGGTGACATTCATCTAGGTTTGCTGCTACCTGTTATGTTTTATGTGCTACATGATATGACGTTATGTGATGGTGGTAGTAGTAGGGGGATATAGCCCCCAATTTACCGGCCGATAGGGCCGAAGGGGTAGTTTAGTACTCAGCTATGCTAGATTATGATTAGGTAATAGTATGTGATAGACCGATCGAGAGGACCGAAGGCGTAGGCCAGCACCCAGATATGCTAGGCAAGGTTATCGGTCGGAAGGACCGAAGGGGTAGGCCAGCACCCGGATATGCTAGGCAAGGTCACCGGTCGAGAGGACCAAAGGGGTAGGTCGGGTACCCAGATATGCCTGGCAGTATATATGTATGTTATGTGTTTGTATGGTATGTGGTATGATGGAGGAACTCACTAAGCTTCGTGCTTACAGTTTTCAGTTTTGTTTCAGGTACCTCTTCAGCGAAGGGGAAGGAGTCGGCGCGGTAGCGGCACATCACACTCACGCATGATTTCCGCATTGAGTTTTCTAGGATTGTACTCTGATTTTCATTAATATCTGACGATATGTTTGAGACACAACATAATGGTTTATGAATTAATATAATATTAGCAATGTTTTGGCAAATGGTTTTACATGATACTTAATTAAAAATGAAATTTTTTTGGCCTTGAAAATTGGGTTGTTACAATTGTTTATTGCATTGTGATGTCCAAAGTGCAGTTCATTTGGCAAAGAATCAGTGTTTCACAATAGGACGAAACACAGTGAGATGAGGTATCACTTTATTCATGAATTGATTGGTGATGGGACCTTGAATCTGAAGAAAATCCCTGGTACAAAGAATCCAGTAGACATGTTTACCAAGGTGGTGACTGCAGAGAAGTTGAAGTTATGCATGGCTTCAATTTGCCTTCCGATACTTGAATAGAAGGCGCGAGCTAAAGAGAGATTGGGGTTACAATGTTCTTGTTTTGGATGATAGCAGATTGTTTATCAACCTCTAAGTGGGAGATCGTTGAGTGTGGAGGGTGAGTTGCATATGACAATTCACATAAGTAGTCTGCTTATGGTAGTTCGAATAAGCAAGGTTGCTTGTGGCAATCCGTAGGAGCAAGGCTGCTTACAACAATCCGCATGGGCATGGCTGCTTATGGCAATCTGAATAGCAGGCGTGCTTATGGAAGTAGGCAATCAACATTGCTTAAGTGGTCAGGAAGTGCTTGAGCAGCAATGCATGTTTTTTTGGAGAGCAAGTTTTGACTCTAACAATCAGTGGGACCTGTTTTGTCAGCATTGACTTTGGCCCATGACGTTTTTTGGCCCATTATTATTAGGTCAACCACTCAATAAATAGTCTCATTTATTGTAACCCTAATGTAGTGTACTAAAAAACCTTTTACAACAGAAAATAATCTCTCTCTCTCTCTCTCTCTCTCTCTCTCTCTCTCTCTCGTGTTCACTATGGACGTAGCCGATAATCCTGAGCGTGTGAGCCATATAAATTGATTGTATCTTGTTCATTTGATTTTGCGTTTATTATTCTGGTGAGATCGTTTATCGTTTATCATTTATCGTTTATCAAAGTGTTGTTTGAACCTAACAAAAAAAATACCGAAACATTAACAGACTTGGGTCGGACCATAATCCGGTCGGGTTGCCGTACAATTCCAATCTAAAAGTTATATATCTAACATACATTTTAAACAAGCTCGCAGCAGCAAGTTCGATTCCAAATGAAGTTTTCAATCCCAAAGTACATACAAGTTGTAACTAGAGATGCACAAGAAACCACATATCCAATAGGAAAACCTCACCAACTTGGTAGAAAATCAGATCTTGCGAAACAAACTGGATTAATCCAATCCCATCAAATCGAACAAGATATGAATAATTACGATTGAATCAGATTTCGACCGAATAGAAACCCAGTTCTTTTCTGAAACGGTATAAAAAAAAATATATGAAAACTTGTCCCCAAATTTAATATAATGTATTGTTATCTCACGGTTAATTTTATTAAAGTAACAAAACTATTTAAAAAATCAATTTTAATCGTTTACAATGTTTTTAATATAATAATGGTTAACTTAAAATAACTTCTGAACATTACAACAGATTCGAATATAATAAATAAAATATTCCAAAAATATTAATTGAATATATATATTTAAAAAATTGATGTAAAACAACATGAAACAGCATTAACTGTTATGTTATTTTCCCAATGGAGCCCCCCTGCCACTGCCGGGCTTCTGCACAACACCTGCACGACTCTGCACCACTCTGTTTCTTTCACCAGGAATTTTCAACATCAACCCATACTTTTACAAAAACACTCCCCCAACTTTCCATACTTTCCCAAATCACCCCCTCAACTTCCCAAACATCAACTACAATCCAAAACACAAATCCATACAAAGTTTCATTTTACACATTAGTTGACTACCAAGAAATTTTCAACATCACCCCATACTTTAACAAAAACACTCCCCGAACTTCCATACTTTTCCATATCACCCCCTCAACTTTCCAAACATCAACAACTACAATCCAAAACCCAAAATCCATAAACAATCAAATAATATCATATCATTTGACACATTAGCTGACTAGAAGTCCAAGAAATTTTCAACATCTCCCCATATACTTTAACAAAACCACTCCCCGAACTTCCATACTTTTCCAAATCACCCCCTCAACTTTCCAAACATCAACAACTACAATCCAAAACACAAAATTCATACAAACAATAATATCATATCATTTGACGCATTAGTTGAGACTACAAGAAGTCCAAGAAACATTGTGGTTCAACAATGTCCCCAAATCACACACATCAAAATACAAAGAGAGTAATTGAAAACAACAGGAGGTTTTTTTTCCTATAAAAAGCAACATAATGATAATAATAATAATAATAATATAATAATAAAAATAAAAACTTGCAGACATTTTACTCTTACTATTCATAGAAACTATGCAATCAAAACATAAACTGGCTCTTCATTTCTTCACCTTCACCAAAAGCTTTTTTTTTTTAATTTCTGTTCTTTGACTTTTCCATTGACCTCGGAGCTGTTTATCATAAAAATTGTTAAATGCATGAAATAGCAACGTACTTTCATTTATTTCTATTTTAACATTGTAGTTTTAGATTTTTTATTTTTTTTATTATGAGATTATACTTCGAAAAACCTTCACAATTTAAACAAGATATGTAAGAAATAACATTGTACTTTAATTTTATGTTTCTTATTAGGCATTGTATTTTGAAAAATATACCTAATTATATTACCATTATACTTTCATGTTTATTTTTTTTTTCTTATTATGACAAAAAATCTAGCCAATTTAAACTGAATATGCAAGAAATAGTTATATACTTTAATTTATTTGTTTATCATACAACATTGCACTTAGAAATTTTTTTAACAAATTATAGCATTCTACTTTCAACTTTTATCTTATTTAAAATTTATACTTTGAGAAAGAAATGAAATAAGGATGTTATAAACTTATAATAAATTAAATCAATAAAAGTAAAATTGCTAAAAATAGGAATTCATTGCATACCTAAACCAATAGCATCAGACCCCTTCATGATCTTCAACCTCTTGCAAGAACCAATAAACATACTGTAAAAAAAAGCAAATTAAATTAAAATTAGAATTTTAAATCTTTCAAAATCTTGAAAAATTATCAAACTATTAATCCAAATAAGAATGTGAAAACAACCAATTTCAGTCTTTTTGTAGCTAATAATATGAAATAAGCAAAACCCATCTTTTTTTTTCTTGCAAATTACTTAATACAGGTGTCTTTAAAAACATAACAAAATCAAGAATCAAGATTAATGGATGTAAAAAAATAGGATTTTTTTTTAAAACTTACTCCCAAGGAACATCTCCCACAAGCATCCAATCACCATCTTTATCTTCATATGTAAGCACATACTCTGAACCATGTAAAAGATCCCTCAATTTACTCTCACTTAAACTTTCCCTTCCCGGAGCTCCTTGTGTTCCACATTGACCTAAATTTTCACCAAATTCCATTATTATAATTTATTATATTCAGTAAAATATAAAAGAAAAACTCACCAATAGTGAAACAACTAAACATTTTTTCAAGTGCAGATGAGAGTTCTTGATAAGTAGTGTAACTCCTTAAATCCACCTTCCTCAGATATGGAGCTCCATCCATACTAACTTTCACAAATAAAGCACCAGGTCCAGGTTTTCCATCCACCTCATCATTGTTCTTTGAATTTGTAGCCAAAATGTTCTTGCGAAATGATCTAACTGGAGGCCAACCCACCACTTGTGCCCTGTAAAAAAAAGGGTATTTTAGTCATTTCATGTATAAGATGTTTCTGTTATTCTGTGTATTGGACTTACTTAGCAGCAGGAGGATTAGAACTAGAACTGTTGACTTTGTTAAGACTAATTGGTAATGGACCTAATGGTGCCTTTGATGATGTTGTTGAATCTTTAATCATGGGAGATTGAGTGTTACTATTATTCCCTTTTCCTTGAGTCTTTGAAGCATCAGAATCAGTTGCAGATGAAGCAAACATCCAGTTCCCTTCAATGGTGTCTGAGAATCCTCTTTTGTTTCCAGAAACGATGATCTTTTGTGAAGCGGAAGAACAGATTCCATCTTTTGAAGGAAGTAAAGGGAATAAGGGTTTTTCATCGAGATTCTCAGAGTTTGTTTGTGGATCACGTTCAGGGGATTGAGATCCTGGAAGACCAAGTCGTAGTTCAGTAGCTTTAAGGTTTAGATTGTTTCTTTTCACTTCTGAGATATTGGAAACAGCAGAGCTATCAACTGATGAACAATCTGATAATCCAAGGTAGTTTCTTTCAGTTAATCCAGAGCTTTTTTGGAAAATCGATTCCATGGTGGAAGCTGAGACGTTTCCCTGTCCATCTTCAACGCCTAACAGTGGTGGAGTCATCAGATCGAGGAGAGTTTTTGAGTTCTTGTTAATCTGCTTCAGTAATGAAGTAATGAGACGTTAATAGAACAGATTAACAGGTTACCTTTCATAATATCATACAGCGAATGTAAATGTAAGTATGTAACGATGAAATGCTTTTCGTGTGTGTGTGAGAGAAGATTGGTGGCTTTCACTTTTGGGAGCCAGTGATCATATACACGCATCAAAAGCTTGGTCAAAATGAAGTTAATAAGCTCATAAAGGAAAGGAATTAAAAGAGATTCTTGTGAATTTTGTATTGGACCTTTGGATAAAGCAAAGTGTTCGAGAAAAAAATGTTAAGGAACATAGGAAGAGACTAGAGAGAAGATGCATTTACATATCCCCAAAAATAAAGGTGTCAGTTGACTAAATCAACAGCTGAAGACCACTCCACGAGATCAGCATGCGCCTTGTAAAGCACATACTGAAGCCCTAATTCGTAAAATTGTGTTCGATTACATGAGTGAAAAAGAAAAAGGTTTTGAGAACAATCTTCCAAAAAGGAAACGAAAAGATATTTTTCCTTCAATTTGTTATATGAACATAAACAGAAGATATACGCAACACTATATCTTCTCCATTAAATCTACAACTAACAGAAGCAAAATTTAATTAAACAAAAAGTAATGCTCCATCTCATCTGCCACTCATAGCTTTTTACCTCATGCGAAACTCTAGATAACAAAAAAAAAATGAACAAAAGCGAATCTACAGTAACATAAACACACATTCCTACTCTGTAAAAAAATTTCAAAACAATTTTGAAAGGAACCACACGGATTTAACTCAGAACAAAGCAAAATCCAGATCTCAGCCTTGAAAAATGAAAACCCCCGATTTGTTAAACCACTCAACTGAAGAAAACAAAAATGAAAAGTATAACAAAATCTGAACCACTTACCTGAGAAATCGAAGTGAAATTACGAGTCAAACAACACAGAAGAGAAGAAGATCCGATTAACAACAAGAATTCCGGAAGGAATTAAACGTAGAAGAAACTAGATGAGGAGAGAGAAAGTACGTTTGAGAGAGAGAGAGAGAGAGAGAGAGAGAGAGTGAGGAGGATTTTAAGGTCCCTCCATTAAGCAGAAAGCAAACAAAAGGTCTGTGAGCTGTGTGCCGTGAAACTCGGATTTTATGTAATAAGTTGAGTAAAAAATAAAGAAAGTGAAAAGGAGTGTGTTTTGTAGGGGGGCAAAGTGTAAATTTTGTAAAAAGGTGTAAACTTTTTATAATTTATATTCTTCGACCACAAATTTTACATGAATATACTACTCCCTTCCCAACACATCCTTCCTGTGGTCTAGTGTATGGTCTAGTGTTTTATTTGATAAAGTTAATTTGATTTTTTTTTATAAATTATTAAAATCAAGACAAAAAGATGTTAGAGCTACCCCAAAAATGAATAAAGAAAGGTGTTAATATGTTATGATATTTTATGATTTTTTTTAAGAAGTTATCTCATAATAATTATGTATTCCGTTAATAGCTTCATTAACAAAAAATTAATAATTTGTTTATTTGTAAAATAATATGTAATAATATGAATAATTTTGTAAAGTTCTTTATTTAATTTTTTTGTAAAATATTATAATTTCCCAAAATAAAATGTATTTCTTTTTTGCTAGAATTGACTATAAAAGTAATTTCTCAAATTACATTAAATTTTTAAATATATTTGATGTGTAATTGTTTTGTGATAATTCTATAACATGCGGTTCTCATTTTTATATTTAAGTAAAATAGATGATGAGTTATTGTAACAAAAATGCTTCTTAGTACCATAAAATAGTTATCTAAATATCATTAATTTTGATTATTTTCTCAAGCTATTTATGAGTTCGGATTCTAAATGATACCATAAGTTTTAGAAACCCACATTCAAACATAATTATTGGTTGTTTAAAAAATAATATAGGACATGTTTGACAACAAAAGTTTTGAAAGCATTTAGCATTTTAGTTTTTCCATAAAAGAAAATCTAAATAATAAAATATTTCGTTTGATACTACAACTTAATGTTTTTATTTTAGAACGAAAAAATTATAACACAAAGTCTATTCAAATAGCTTTTTAAACAACTACTCAGATATCCTTATATATATATATATATATATATATATATATATATATATATATATATATATATATATATATATATATATTCACCATTCAAATGTTAAAATTAGTTTGTGAAATACATTTATATTTAAATAAATAAAAATTAGAGCGTCTAACTCTAACTATTAGCATGTAATTTGTAATTATTAAGATTGTATTATGAAATACTTAATTAATAGCAATGAGACTACACACGTACATCAAAGTATTATATTACTTTTGTCAACGTACACGCGTGAATAAAAGATGAATTTTACTATAGTCAAGTCATTTTAGCTCGTATGAAAGAAGCAGAGATAGTAAATAATTTATATTACTTTATTTTGCGATTTCATATTAAAATAATATTCTATCTTTTAGTAAATACATCATAATCAAAATCACACGCTTGCTTGTTCTTTTTACATAATTATAAAAGTGGGTTTCCTAAAACATCACCATATTAATTACTACAAAACAAATGGATAGTCGTTGTTATCATCATAATTATCAAATATATGCATGTTGTTGTATATCTATATTTTTCTTGTATTTCAATATATAAATTAATTAATTGTTACTAATAAATTATTCAAGCTTAACTATTTACAAATAAATTAATTAATTTAAGTTTTTAAGAGTCTAAAAGCATAGGATGAACCTTCCCTAGCCACCATAAACAATATTCGATTAATCATTATATCTTGTAATCATTTGTATTTGGTCACTACCATATATTAATACCTCTCCCAACATCATTATTAACAACCACATACTAGTTTTGTGTATGCACCACTTGTATTAAAAATGTGAATATAAAAGTAAGTGGTTATTATATGGTTTAATGTAATAAGTATTTAATATTTGTATTACAAAATCTTAAAATCCATACACTATATAAGTATTGTCAACATTTATGTAATGATTGTTGGTAATTTACACTAAATGATACGTTGGATCATAATTTCAAATATATTAAATAGATTTCTTATTTTATTAAAAATAAAATCGTCTTTTAAACGTTTACCTTTAATATTTTATATTTTTTTTAAAAATTTGCAACTTTTTTATTGGACATTCTCTACATATTTCAAAGTTATAGTTTCTAACTTTTTGTCATTTTCCAACTATTATTTTTCGACTATTAAAAAAAATACTATGAAATATATATGATATATATGAACTTTGTTTAGGTTTATAATTTTTTGTATTTAGTCTCATTTCGAATGTAATTTTTCATTAGGTTAAATGTTTTTATTTTACTATTTAATTGTTTATATATTTTTTATAACTTTTTATATATAAGTAGATTATGGGGGGTAAAAAAAGAATGTGCATACATGTAAATGATGATAATAGGCATGAGTAAAGAGGAGACAAAGTGTGATGCTCAAGATTTTGCAGGAAAACGATAATTACGAAATCAAGCAAATTTTGATTATGTTTAGCCAAAAATGTCATAATTCAACTACTCCACCCAATTGACCCTCAACTCTTATTAATTGACATAACTTACCCCTAGACTTAGGAGTCCATATCCACACGTGGCTCCATTCACATGTCGTTCATCCCTTTTCAACGCTAAGTGGGCCCACCTCGTTCCCCATAAGGGCAAACGTGGGAAATGAAAAAGATACCCCCATATGCTACTAACACATGGACCATTTTGTAATATTGTTCCATAAAATTACATTTTATTATAAAAGATGCAATTTGTAGCATAAATAATTGTGTGAGTTTAATTTTACAAGTTGAGGCAAATATAATTCGAGCTCATGACGTAATGAAATACGTCGGTTATGAGGCAAATATATGTTTAAAATTTTATGAATATAAATATAGAGTATTAAATTATGGTGATCATGGATGTATGTTGTAACTAATTACGTCATTTATTCAACTTTGATCAATAATGTCTTAATTGGATCAGATCCTTAACGCAACGTTTGGTAGGTGGAACTGGACGGGACATAACAGAACAAGATCATTTGAAATAGCGTTTGACAGAAATGAGACTAGAACTAAGTGGAACAAAGACTAAGTCAAATGGGACTAAACCTTCAAATTTTAGTCCCACCTAAAAACATAGAACATAGTGGGACAAGAACATTAAGACTACAATACCACACCACCACTCATGTTCACGTCTCTCCTGTGCAACTTAATACCATATGAAACCACATATTTGGTAATCTCATCCTCAACTTCTCCACTGTAATAACTAAAAAAATTAAAGATCGTCATTCTCATGCCACGCGATAATTAAAAACAAAAAAAATAAAAATAAAAGACCCTCTGATGCATGAAAAAAATAAAACAATAATCTAAAGTCCTTCCAAGTTCTTCTCGATGCTTACACAGGTTTGGATTATATATATATATATATATATATAGATATATATATATATATATATATATATATATATATATATATATATATATATATATATATATATATATATATATATATATATTATTTATCAATATTTTTATTTTTAAAAAATATCATATGAAAATTTTATAATTATAACATGTTAAGTCTTAAGGATGATTTGGTAATTTGACCATAATGGTTTGTCTAGTTCTAATTACACCAAACACTATATAGAAGTTCTCTTCAGTTCAGTCCAGTTCAGTTATGTTCAGTCATGTCCAGTCCAGTTTCACCTTGTCCATGTACCAAACGCTACCTTATCACTAACTGTGGTTAAAAAAGACTAATACTACCGGATATTTTGTGTTTAGTTGGCATAAATATATGGGATCATATAATATGTTTACATGATGTCCATTTAATAATCATTTATTTTATTTTATTTTATTTTAATATTTGTTTTATCAATAAAAAAAATTATATTATTTTAATTTGTTTTGGTGTGGATCATCATCTTTAATTGATTTCAATGAAAAATAGCTTTTATGATTTTATTAAACTGAATTTTTCCACTTCATTTTGTGATTGGCTTTGGCTCCAGTACACTCATCAGTCATCAATATGCCATAGGTACCACTTCCATACACCCCGTTCAAGTACTAATTGATCAAACCCCATCCACCAAACACTAGTAAAGCTAGAAAGATCGGTGAAAATGACCAAATGGGTATTTAAACTTGGCGAGCACAATGATTGATGTACAGTGTCTTCCAAGTGCATTTACCAAAGGAAAAGAACTAGTAGATTTTCTGGCTGAGATTTTGGATCAAGTAGAAGGCCAAGACATTACCCAACTACCCGATCCATAAAGGAAGAGTCTGGCCCCACCTATCACATATCACTAGAGGAGGAATAGGCAAATTGATGGATACAATTGCAGATGGAGTCTCGAGTCATAATAGGGTAGGTGGTTAATGTGCTAATTAAACCTAGAAGAGGTGTATTCAAGTTGCTCACAGTCACCACAAGTTTGTAATATTACTATTAATTGTAAGGTCTTTTGGGTTACATGTAATAACATAATAAGCAACTAATGATACGAGAATATTATTAGGGTCTAGTTTGTTAATTAGTTAAATGTTTAATTAATTAATAAGAAACTTGTAGGCTTAAAGGGTTTAAAGTGTAAAGATTTGAAAGTAAAATCTTGTAGGATAATTACTTAGTGACTAAGTAATTATCCCTAAGAGTTCAAAAACTTTTCCTTATGAATAGAGGGGACATAAACCTGATTAGTGGATGAGATTTTACCAATCTCAACCCCTAAATTATACAGCTCCGTTATTTTTCCCGAAACCCTCCAAATCCTTCGAATGCGCAATGCGTCCCTACGATAGAGGGGTTCTCAAGTTTGGTTCATGGTGTTCGCTAGCTAGAATGAAGTGTCGGTGTTGTTGATATATTCCTTGGGTGCGACTACAAAAGAGAAGATATATTTGGGGATCTAAGCATTCTCTCCCCATCAAGATCTCAAGAAGATTACAAGGGACTACAAAGGTATGTGTTTCTAGTCTTCTAGTTTGTTTTAGATGTAATATATCTGGTTGAACATGGATTCACTTTTGGCATATAAGGTTATTGTTTTATGGCTTATGCTGTGCGCCTTTATGACCTTTTAGATCCCTCATAACCCAACAGTGGTATTAGTGCCACTTGTTCACGTCTTTTACACTAGATTTCCAATTGTTTTGTGTTAACTTATATGCATGATGTGGATCGATTAG